ATATATATATATATATATATATATCTATATATCTATATATCTATATATCTATATATCTATATATCTATATATATATATTATTTATATATATATTATATTGTCTTATCCTTGATGCGCTAAAGTACACATATTGAAGTAAGAAATCGTCGGTTTTTAATAATATCACGTTTTTTTTCACTATAGACCTTGACGGGGAAGGAGATTGAGATAGATATTGAAGCCAGTGATCCGGTAAGTTGTATTGCACCTACGCAATAGTAAGGGTGACTTATATTCACAACATTAGTGTGCCCGTACCTATGACCAGCAAAGGTTTCTGTTTATTTGTTTGTCAACCATATCTGATAGAAGGAATATCGAAGTCGCGAGTATATTTGCAACAAGGTCAATATGGTTGCTTCGGATCCGTATGTTATAGTTGGCTTAAAAAATCTCATACTTCGCTCACTACAATTTTTTTTTTGTTGGGATTTTGTGTTTGCGCAACTTGTAGGTAGAGCGCATCAAGGAACGGGTAGAGGAGAAGGAGGGTATCCCACCAATCCAACAGCGACTCATCTATGGTGGAAAGCAAATGTGCGTGTATATGAACACAACTGCTATCTATCTTCACTATTGAGCGGTTTGGGTCGTCTTCGTACTGTTACCGTAGATGTCTAATTCGTGTGTTTATATTAATTTGGGACCACTGTTGTGGCTGGTGAAGTGTTCGTATGTTAATTATATTGAGCACTTGTTGGTACACATGTTGTTGTGTGACGTGTCTGTGGATTTATTCAGATCTTGTCGCGGGTGAAGTGTTCGCATGTTGACTACATTGAGCACCCAATTGTATGTATGCTGTTGTGACGTGACTGTGATTCATGTATATATTTCGAGATAAGCGGATTCGCTCGCGTTGCAAAGTTGTATGTTCACGGTCGTCGCATAAGTATGATTGGCAAGGAGTTTACTCCTCTCTCTCTCCCCACTCTACCGTAACCTGCTGGGGATTCACTCCCATTCCCATGTTTGAAAACGGATTCGATGGAACAATTTACTAAAGACTAACATTCGTCCGTGACTGTATTTTTTTTGGGTAGGAATGATGACAAATTAGTAAGTGACTTCAAGATTACGGGCGGCTCGGTTCTACATCTCGTTCTCGCTCTCCGTGGCGGACTGTGATTAAAAGCGATTGGGAATATACTTTTCAGTCTACTAGTGCAGGCAATATGCCAACTTTCACGCAGCAGAGTGTTCACCGAACTATAGTTTCTCAGAAAGTATTCATTTCTGTTGTCTAGAATCTGTCTCTACTGACAAAGTGTAATTAGACAGCAGATCCTTTAAGTGCGCTCGTTTGAACACAATGCGGATATACAAACACCTTTATCACTCACGGATGCCGGATGGCATATGCAGCCACTCTCGTTGAGGACTTGGGGTCCATGGGTTAGGTGATAGCAATTTGTTGTGATCGCAGTGATCGTGAACTGATGACACAATTTGATACATCCAGGGCTTCCAGAGTCCAGGCTCCATAGCATAAATATATTTAGGGGGGGGGTCCAAATTTGAAATTACCACGACGACCCTTGGCCTCGTTGGATTCTCAATTCTGGGACTGGGTCTGTCACTTACTTGAACATACGTATTTAGGTTGAAAACCCTACTGCGTAAAGCTGTGAACTTCCTCTCTCTGAAGTCGAGAGACTTCGAGACTCTCTCTCTCTCTCTCTCTCTCGAGAGAGTGCCAGAGAGAGAGTATATTTAACTGGGGTGTATGATCACTGTGGTAGTCATTGGCAAGTTATGATGGGTGTTTTTATATTTTTACAATCCGATTTCTCATGCAGCAGAGGCCAGCTGTTTTGTACATCACAAGAGATACAGTCTCACAGACCCCAAGGCCACAGGGCCTACTACTTAAGAGAGTAATTCGGCCCAGCGGGGCCATTGTCTCAGAGAGTACAGAAAAATAATAAAAATACCGTCACAAATTTCAGAAACGTTCAAAGAACCAGTTTCTATTTGTTCCATAATTTTGCACACATGTGTTTTGGACGCCGATTGTCTATTGGTTTTCATCATCTCCTTGCTAATGAATTTACGGACAATCTGTCCCAATTTCTGTCCCAATTTATTTTCCGGTTGGTGTGAAAGTAACCTTTGTAACGAAAAAATGGGCCAATTTGTGGTTCGCAAACCCTGACTTGATCCAGGAAAAAATATAATGATCACAACTAAAATGTATGATTTTTGAAGGCCATTTGATTTTTGAAGGCCATGTATGATTCAAATCAGCAGTCTTTTGGTCGCTGGGAGTTCAATAAACTAAAAATAGGTGAGTTCAATAGGTGGACTCGAGTTCAAAAAACTAAAAATAGGGCCGACGCCGAAAAGAAAATAGGGGCAAAAGTATTGGTGACCGGTTCCAGTGCGATTGTTTGTAGCGTGGCACTTGGCGGCTGGCGGTGTTTCAGAATTTTAAAAAGTGTATAATGTACACACACATGTACATGTGGGTTAACGTAATTATATACTTTCCTTATATACAGAGTATACCGCGTACTTCACGTACATTATCTCTAACCTCTCTTTTGTCATTCTTGAACTACTGATTAACTAGTAGTTTGTTTGTCAATCGACCCTATACCCCCCAAAAAAAACCAAAAAAAAGAACACTAACCCATCCACCATGTCTGCCACTCCAGTAGCTATTGTGCCCAAGCAGGGTAACGTCAACTCTACGTCATTATACGTTGGCGACCTTCACCCCGAGGTGAATGAAGCTCTACTATTCGAGATTTTCAACGCTGTTGGTCCCGTTGCATCCATCCGTGTGTGCCGTGACAACATCACACGTCGATCGCTTGGTTATGCGTATGTCAATTTCCACAACTTTCTAGATGCCGAGCGTGCATTGGATACCATGAACTACGCTGACATCAAGGAACAGCCCTGTCGTATTATGTGGTCACAGAGAGACCCCGCCCAGCGTAAGTCTGGTCTTGGAAATGTATTCATCAAGAATCTGTCCAAGGAGATCGACAATAAGGCTCTGTACGATACTTTCAGCGCATTCGGCAATATTCTGTCGTGCAAGATTGTAGAGAACGAAGTGTGCGAGTCTCTTGGTTACGGATTCGTGCATTATGAGTCTGACGAGTCGGCTGAAAATGCCATCGAAAAGGTCAACGGCATGCTTTTGGCCGGAAAGAAGGTCTTCGTCGGACCTTTCATCGCCCGTAAGGAGCGTCAAGACGGCGACGAAGCCCCCAAGATCAAGTTCACCAATGTGTTTGTCAAGAACTTCCCAACCACATGGGATAGTGACAAGCTTCGTGAAGTGTTCGCCGATTTTGGCACTGTCACGTCTGCTGTAGCTAACGTCAACACCGACGGCACCAGTGCTGGCTCCGGATTCGTGTGCTTTGATAACTACGAAGCAGCGGCCAAATCTGTTGAGGCTATGAACGAGAAGGTTATCGAGGAGAAGGCCCTATACTGTGGCCGTGCTCAGAAGAAGTCTGAGCGTGAGGCTGAACTTCGTGCCAAGTTTGATGCACTTAAGCTGGAGCGTGCTCAGAAGTACCACGGTGTCAACTTGTATGTCAAGAACTTGGACGATACTCTATCCGAGGAGCGTGTCCGCACAGAGTTCGCACCTTTTGGAACCATCACAAGTCTTAAGATCATGCACGATGATAAGGGTGTATCCAAGGGTTTCGGTTTCGTATGTTTCGAGACTGCCGAGGAGGCTACCAAGGCTGTGACCGAGATGAACGGACGCATGCTTCTTTCTAAGCCTTTGTACGTAGCTCTAGCTCAGCGAAAGGAGGATCGCAAGCTGCAGTTGCAGAACCAGTACGCAGTGCGTGCTAACGGTATGGTCCGTGGACCTGCTGGTATGCAGCCACAGCTTTACCCGGCTGGCGGACCTATGTTCTACACCGGCCCTGGTGTGGGAGTTGTTCCTAACGGTCAGATGGTTGGTGGACGTCGCTGGACTCCTCCGGCTGGTAATGTGAACGTTCGAGGTGGATATGCACAGATGCCCCCCCCTGGTTACATGGGACCTGGAGTGAACATGCAAAATGTTCCCCAACAACAACAGCAGAGAAACGGAAACAACAACCGTAACAACAACGGTCGACCACAGAATGGACAGCAGCCTCGCATGCCCCTTCAGCAGAATACACGTGCCGGTGTCAACCAGTACCGTCAATCACAGGGCGCTATCAAGCAGATCGTTAACCCTGTTCCTGCTGTGTCTCCTGTCTTCCCTGGTCAGGAGCCCCTTACTGCCTCTATGCTCGCCGAGGCTTCTGCTGTACAACAGAAGCAGGTATGTAATTCTATCTACTTCAAATTTGAGTTGTGAATCAAGGTTTATGCTAATTAGTTGTATAGTGGTATAGCTGATACACTTATGATGTACGTAGTTAGTTATACTGTTCTGCATGGCGAGATGATGAATAGAATACGATGAGGGTGGGCTATAAGTATGCCCGTTGATCGACTTTTTCTGGGTTTCTGATTTGCAATGCAAGTATTTTTTTTTATCTGTAGGGAACTGTTCCTGTGCAAGTTTACTTATCTTTCTCCGCATTTTGGTTTTACAGCTTCTCGGAGAACGTCTTTACCCCTTAATTGCCGCTACACACACCGAACTGGCCGGCAAGATCACAGGCATGCTCCTAGAGATGGACAACAGTGAATTGCTGCATCTTTTAGAGACGCCCGATGCCCTAAGTCTAAAGGTTAAAGAGGCCGTACTTGTGTTGGAAACTCACCAACAACAATTATCGGATGCCCGTACCACCGATGAAAACTCGCACGCTGATGTTCCCACCGTAGCCGCCTAAATCATTAGACTTTGAGGTTGTCTACATACTTCGAAGTGGTCGTCCGGGTGGTGTTGTAGTTTTGTAAGTTCATACCATTACAGATGATTTATCAGACCGGAATCCGACGTTTCCGGTTACCTGTTGGTTGTGGATCGGATGAGCGAATCTCCCGATACTCATCATGTTAATTGCATACGAAGAAACCGCTTGTACATTTCGGTTTTGGCGTGTGTAGATATATTTCAGAGTTCAGACACTCGTCTCGTACTTAGCTAGTGTCGACTCAATTTTTAGTTATGCTAGTGTGCTTAGATCCAGGTTCGATTTCAATGAGTGAGGAAGCCTCGTTATCAGTGCCTTGGGGAAATGAGTTCCGATGCTTTCGTAGATTGATAGCTACACAACAAGCTGATCTGGTCGAGAAAGGAACTTGAATAGCACAACACTAGCCTCAAATATTAGAACTTCCTTTGTACATAAATCAAAAATAAAATAATAATGCACATAATGACTGCTTTGGAATCCTTGAATGTATGTAGCGAATTCTGGATACTCTTGCACATAGCACAACACTAGCCTCAAATATTAGAACTTTCTTTGTACATAAATCAGAAATAGAAAAATAATGCACATAATGACTGCTTTGGAATCCTTGAATGTATGTAGCGAGCTCTGAACACTCTTGCCCACCCAACAACTCTTTAAAAACTTTTTTGAAATCCCTGTGCGCCTTCTTTGAAATCCTTGAGTGTATGTAGCCGGTAGTGCGATGGGTATTTTCGTGCTCTCGAGTCACTGATTGTATTTAGCGACGCTGATGATTCCTTAGTGAGAGGCCTGCTTGCAATGTACTGTCTGCTAAATAGTGCGCTACTTATTTTGCTTCAGAATTGTGAAGTCAAATCGCACTATTGGCACCATTTAGTGTTCAATTGGTGTTTACATTTTGACAAAGGAGATCAAGCGTGGTGATTGCAACGACAAGAGTTGAGACATTTATTTCAATCAATTTCAATAGTCTACAACAAACGACGACTGTGGTACAAAGCGCGGCTTCGAGTTCATTGAATATTTTAGTCAGCCGAAGAGGTCTGGAATACAAATTCGAATAGAAAGGGTCAATACACTCGGAAATTGTTTTTCGGTCAATGGCCACGTAATGAAAGGGCTTTCACGAACAGAAAGTAGCAGTTTTTTTCGCACAAGGCCTGGGAAAAATACCCCCGCACTACATTTGACCGCTAACTTACCAAATTCTAAAGTCTCGACAACGTTGTTTCTGGAAGGGACGATGTCAACCGGCTCCGCAAAGAGTATTAGTTCGTCAGGGACCACCCCTATGATAATCCGGAGAAGTACAGATGAGTGGATAGTACATGTCCACTCCAGCGAGATAGCATTCCGCACTCTCAAAGCAGGCTCAGCTGAAGCCGCTTATGCATGTTCGCAGTTGAGAGTGGAAGCACAGCTTGACCAAGATGATGTACCAAAACACTTCACTTTTAGCCCATTCCGAGGTCGTCGAGCCCGTTTCAAACTTATGTGATTAGTCGTGGCTGATTGTTATAAAACACATGGGCAACATTCGTCACTAATTTTGATCATGCACACGAATGGAACTATACCTACACTCGTACATGATTAACCTTCATTAGCCCTCGCCGGCGTCTCTTTGGAAACCATTGGCGCATTGACTTTTGGTCGCGTTGGTGTGCATGGAACCTTGCACGGTGTGGCTGTTTGAGCGCTCAGGACCTCATTGGACTTCGACGTGGATTCCGAAACGCGATTTGCTGCGCAAAGCTTCTCCATAAGATTGGAAGGAGTCGTCACATGTCGAGGCGTACCGCGCATACTACTCCTCTGCAATAGAAGATAACTCTTCACATATAAGTACGATTTCCACTCGAGAGTCAAGTTCTACATGCTAGTAGTACCATAGTGTTATTCTGCAAAGCAGCATATCCCACGACTTATACTACATACCGCTTGCGGGACGGCATCGACCGGGGCACCATATAATGGTGACCACAAAATGTCCGGTGAGAAAGGTACCACAGCCGAGGCCGACATTGTGACAGTTTTTTTGCCAGTCTCACAGAGCTGAATACAGTGCTAGACTGTGTGTTTGGTATTCAGTAGTTTCGCAAACTGGTGTCAGATATACAATAGTGCTGAAAAGCGAGTAAAGTATTTCTTTCAGAAGCTTACTCTTGTTTTGAGGCAATAAACTATAGTAAATCTCAATTTATTTCGCACACAGTTTATGTTCTATGTGTATATTTATATTTCAATAGTGTTATCGCTTAGGCTCAAGTCACTGCAAAAGTTTAGAGAAGAGACCTCGGTATGAACTTAGTCGTATGCCTAATCCAGAGAGTTAAAGCTTCATCATTGCGCAGATGACAATGATGTACACTTGAAGTAGATCAACAGCCCTACATACAGAGGGTGGCAGATCACATCTAGTGCACAGAACCGGGCGTGTTCGATATTATCTAGGACGAAACCTCTGCGTGCAAAGGTTGCATATAATCTCTATACGACTAGACATATCCATATCATGAACCATCTCAATATAGAAGCTATTGTAGGCGCACATCTTGGGTACAGCAACCAAACCTCCGGTCTTTCATAGTAATCCCCACGAAAGTATCCACACGAGAGTCATCAGGACCGTATAGCTGTCACTGTAATCAGGCTAAACTCTTAATGTATTAAGGCAGATCTCAATATCACTACGAATTTACGCGTGGCAGCCCGCCAAAATTTAAGCTGATACGTTTTTATGATTGGTCTGTGGCGGGACAACAGTATTTGTATTGGACCATTTTTGGCGGGCTTAGTTTCGTTACGGCTTCTTTTTTTACTCAAGCGTACGTATTTCCCAGTTCTCACTGTAAGTTTCGTCAGTGGCGTAGTGTGGCGCATATTGATACCAGTGACAGTGCCGCAGTGGTGTCTACGTTTAGAGTTCTCATTCTCATACTCATCCGTTAGTAGTAGAGCGAGATATTTTGGTTTGAATGTGGTCGTCCGTGTACAAATATATTATAGAGCTGTTGGTGCAGACTTTCACACTTTGTATGTGTAAGTAGCCGTGTAGGAGAACATCCTCTAAAGTCGGGATCGTGGATCACAAAAGGAAACGTAAATATGGTGCGCCATATTCAGGCCAGCGACTACATAGAGCCAAATTTCCGGAAGAAATGGTGTGCACATACCTGAATATGTTGGGCTTGCAGTGTTCATTAATTTACACGAAAGCTAAGATTGCCTCGTCGACAGACATGACAGGACTGGTAGACTGGTTGGGGTGGTCGATTGTGTTAGCAACGTTTTGGTAAACAAGAATACTTTATAGTGTGTGTGCACCTGAGATTCAAGTACGCTTTGTCTTTTACGCAGGCGTAGACTAACCTCGATACTACTCACTCACAATTCCAGCCACGAAAAGGCCAAGGCAAATCGGTTTAAGACTCGCAGAACACCCAGTACTTTCCAATCACCGGAGGTATCGAGGAGATCTGACAGTAGTACTGTGAAGTGAGGCATATCCTGTAGGTCACAAGTTCTGACCACCCTACTCAGGAAAATTTGAAAGCTATATATCTATGAATAAGGATGGACACTTGCGTATTTGTATCGTATGTAGGGATGTTTATTTACCTTGATACCTTTTTATATAATTGTTTAAAATTACTCTACAATAACACTGGATGGGCACGTGCAAGAAAGAGTTCGTTCCACCGGTGTTTGCTTTGCCGAGCGCTGATTGGTATGATTGATATGCTGCTCGTAACCTAAATTCACTGTGTACAATCTGATCGTCATTGTGGTCGTCTAGTGTACGCCCATAGGAGTGGTTCAGTAAAATTTCACGGATTTGTACTCATGAAGAAGTGTGTCTCGTACTTCTAGTTTTTAAATAGTTCTGGTTTGAGATGAAGGCACTCGGTTTCTAGGATGTAAAGAGCTTTGATAATTCAGTCTATAGAACCATCCATTGCCCGTCAGGAGGTACATCGAGAGACGACTGCTCCTATCCTGCTCTTCGTACCTGCGCGAAAAGTGACTAACCTTCCTAAAAATTTAGTAGTGGAGCAATCGAGTCCACGACCTGAACCAGTTATAGGAGCAAGGTATGTATGCGTGTACGCTACCGAATAAATTTTGAATTTAAAGGCTTGCATGTGGAATTGAAAGCCATAGTATCGATCATACAGTAGCAGAGTGAAGTAGAAGTACAAATTGGTAGCAAATCGTAAATGCAGTTTCCGTAGACTAACCAATGTGCTGTAGTAGCGCATTGTGCAATCGGTCTGTCTGATTTTCTGAGTGTTATTTATAGAAGATTGTCTTTGTGTCGTTAGCAAGATTGCCGTCATTGTAATGTAATCCATGATTACTCATCTCTCATGGAAGGCAGCACTGTCGGTAATTTCAGGTACCCATAACTTTAGTATATATTTATGAATACATGCATCACCATCTGTAATTGCAACTCAGTATCAATCAAAGATTCACACTACGAAATTCCTATATCACCGTAGTGTAGTGCAGGGCGAATGCTCCGACGGCTTCTTGTGAAGCCACCTTTGAACAAGAAAGTCGCTGAGATTACAGTATGCAGTGGTAATTCGTATCGACGGCGTGCTTTGAGATCCGTGTAGTTTTGTAATCATGGGTATCAAACAAAAGACACCAAACATTTGCTATATCACTGTGTCTGATTTCGAGCACAGGTATTTCCTCATTACTATTCGATATTAATAGAAATCATGTCTTTGTCGCCTTTCTTTCATTCAATTGTATGGATGTTGGATGCTGATGTCCCCAGTGCTAGTTGCCGATATTGTTTGTGAGAATACACAATCTTTTTACACGCATACAAGTTGCACATGAAGCTATGGATAGTAAAAGATTCTGATTTATTACATGCTTGAGTCTATAGGCCTAAACTCTACGGTCTGATCCAAGGCCACCAACAGTAAATGTATACAATACAGCATTGTCAGCGGACCTTTCTTGCATGCTTTAATACTGTGGAAGCATGGGCGACACGCCAGGCCGTCCTATGTGCTTAGCGGTGTATAATCATACCACCTCAAGTGAACTGTGTATGTCTAAACGTTGCACTAAATATCTCGAATCTTAGTATGGGTGCCAAAATGAATATACCAGTGGAAGTGATGCTGTTGTGCCTTGTGCGTGACCACTTTCTAGGATATCTACGAAGTCAGCGCTACTGCTTGCGGCGAAATGTCATACTCAGAACTTAAAGACTTGCATGATCATTAAGCGGTGCCCGTCTCAACTTGTGACGGCAGGTCCTTCCCTTCGTCTTTCTCTTTCCTGAAAAAGCGCAGGCGAGCAGATGCGATTGTGGTGAATACTTTGGTCGATTTTTATGTCTCGGAAAGTTGAGAGTACATCAATCATGAGCAGAAAGGTCACTCATGCAACATGCACTCACATCTAAATAAAACCCTCTGCAGTAAGGATCATTAGAGTATATTATATTTGCGGACAAAGTCTATTTGTTTGATGAATTGATCTACAGGCTATAATAACGAGCACTTACCTGTCTAGTTTACCCGCAAGACTAGCCAAGCTCATTTTCCTACTGTTAACACCGCTCTTGCTTCCATTAGAAGTTACTGTGTCCGCTGAGGGCCTCCGAATTTTCATCGTAGCCTGTGCCTCCACTGAGTTGCTCTGAGAAGTATTTGAGTGTAGCAGCCAAGAGTATACAATCAGATTGTGCGGATATTAACGAGCGCAAACGCAAAATATTCTAGCGGAGTACCGGAATTCTTTCCATATTTAAAAAATACGTTGATATAGCTAGTTATAATAAGCCCTATCACAGCGATTGGTTATGGTGGTCCGCGTACATTCAGCATCAGTAGTAGTTCTATACTACATCCCGATAATCGCAAACAGTCAGCTTTGCGATACATAATCACATAATACGTATGCACCTCGGTACGATTTTTATAACTTACAAATCCTCTGCGTCGCATGCGGCTTGCCTTCGGACTGTTGAGGATGCTCCGTAGGTCCATGGCACTGTCTCGGTCTCTTGCTTCGATTGGATATAGTTCTTCTCGGACAGCCATCTGTTCTTCCACATGCAGGTATTCCCATAATTGCTGTATAATCTACAGGGAAAATGTATAGCATAATTTAGATATGATGTAATGTAGACAGACTCCAATGTATATAGTTATGTCAACCTGCAAGTAGCAACATCAACAATAGTCAAGTGTACACAGGCTTTCCCATGTCATTGTTGCTATACAATATGCGCATCACAATTGATTTCACAACGAGAGCTCATATGCCAAACTGTCAGCAGTATGTTGGTACCTACCCTGTGTGACTTGACTTTACTCCTCGATTTGCCAAGGGTAGCGAACTTCTTCTTGGGAACGTGTGCCGCCTGACCCCATAACGACTCCTGTGCAATATATGACGTTGGTATGATAAGTAAAAATAATAATATCGCAAACTAGTTTGTATCTACTATCTACTGGGGATGTATCAAGGCTGCTGACGCACTGTCAAAATAAACAATCGTTAAACAAGAGTAAAAATAAAGATTCTGTGGCAATTTTGTTTGTGACACACTAGATTTTGAACAACGACGGCGTAGTGCATCTAGCTCGTTTTGGACGAGGAAACAGATGGTGGTTTTTCAGAGAGGGTCACAACACACGGTTTACACTCTAACGCTGTCTGCAGATGTACTTGGAGGGTAAAAATTCTCATCCGGACGGACACATAAACTCGACTATCAAGCACGTACATACCGTACACGCATTGTGTAGGAAACGGGCCATGACAAACACGCACACACATACTCGATTATAAATGGTACGAATATGGATTGCAATCAGGCCAGGAGCTGAGCCACTTGATATCTAGGGTGGTGGTTTATACGCGTACATTTTCCCGCTACACTTGTCCATCTCATTATTTAAATATGCATCAAGAAGTCTGACGAAGCAGGATGTGCAACAACACCGAATGACATACGATTAGGATGCCAAGCTGCTGTTTCGTGACGGGTCTGGCAATGTCTTTACACAGAGGGTCATGGTCTTTCAATTCGGTGAGTGCGTCAGTCATGTCGTCGAGATTGGTGTCCGGAATGGTCTCATTCTTCTCCTCTCCCCATCTGTTCACGAAATATTATAGTTGTAAGCTAGAGAGTTGCATAAGTATGATATCGGTTGATCTTAGGTAGGGGTACTGTGACCAAGGATACAAGTTGAATGTCACAGCCAAGAACATGCAGGTTAATTGTGGTATTGATATGAAAATATTAGTCTGAACGAAGTACAGGGATTGTATCGAAGGTAATCATATACGCGGGATCGTAATTTATTATGCCGCAATTATATTCTTTGCAAAGTCAGCAAAGATAACACTATTTTACTGCATGACAATATCAATACATTTACCTCTGCATGAGTAGCTCCACGATGAGGTTAACCACAGCCTCGCTATGCGGGGTCGTCGGGTGCGTCGAGATGTGCACACTGGATTGTGAGTGTATGGATATTTTCTTGGGCCGCCGTGAACGCCCCTTGTTGACAATGGTTTGTGATATGGTGATGATGGGCTGAGTTGTTTGCTTTGATTTTGTGGTCTGTATGAGATGTAGTGTACAAATTGTTGAGTAAAAAGGCTAGTATTGGGGTCGCACCTTACAATAGCCGTTTCCGTATGCCAAATATTACAACGTATCGGACATTCGGCAAAGCACGTCGAGACATTTTGACTCCAATTTTGAGGTTGAGAGTTTCAGATACATCCATGAGCTTACATATGTACGCGTAAGTCATTACCATACGTACACCTAGAGTCAAACGAAGAGGGGGTGCTTACTTTTGAACTGCTATGGGAGTCACGGGGCATGATTTTGTACGACATAGCGTATAGTTCCTCTTCCTTGACCTCGTTTCCAAGAAATCCTTTGATTATAGTGTTTAGCTTTGGTAACTGCACGTGCGACGGCACGATCTCCTGACATCGGTAGATTTCCCTGTTAAACGACCAGTAATGATAGGTTTACATCTTGATACTACTATGAGAAGGTTTACAATGATAGGTTCACATCTTGATACTACTGTGAGAAGTTTTACAATGATAGGTTCACATCTTGATACTACTGTGAGAAGGTTTACAATGTTAGGTTCACATTATGATACTACTGTGAGAAATGATAGGCTTACACCTTGATACTACTGTAAGAAGGTTTACAATGATAGCTTTACATCTTGATACTACTTTGAGAAGATTTGGGACTGGCCACATGAACCAACTGGGAGCTGATTATTCCGCCTGGAAGACAGTCCTTCGAGTTAAGAGTACTTGGTTTCGCACTTCGTGAGTTAAAATGCCTGAAAAGTGGCTTTTAAACACGCAATGTTCTATACAAACAACCACTTTAAGCCAGTGTTGAGTTTGAACCGATTAACGAAAAGGAAAGGCACGAATCGCGACTGAAATCAATAAGCTGCAGAGTGATAGACTTGCATAGATAAACCGCTGAAACATACCACGCACTCTCGGCAATTCTCCTCATTTTCTTGAAGTTGACGATCTGCCCACTGCCAGTCCATGATTTGAGGGCATCTTCCGTGTGCAGCATATCCCGTAGGTACAGCCCACTATGGTTCATTTGTGGAATTGTGCACGTGCAGGGTTAGTAGTGTGGATGAATTCGTATGTATGGAAGGATCCTTGCACGGATATTTCGTCATTCGGTACAGACCGATAGCAAAATGTAGTGCTACTGCAGGCTATTGTAGTGCTATGAAGGTCTACAACTGTCCAGTGAAATAGTACGCTATGTATGAGTAGAAGCCGCAGTATGTAGTAGATGGAGGTGGGTAGTCTCGCAAAAGCATATAGTAAAATCAACCGCTTTCCTTAGCTCACGCCAAGGCGACTTACATGTATGGTATACAAAATCCGATTTGCTGTCTCTGGACCTCTCTATATCTCTTGTAGTTCAACATGGGCGTTGTGAAGTCCTTCAGTTCCTGTAGAGCTTTCGTTTTCCTGTCGCTCAGTTCGTGGAATGTTTTGTGCAGACGCTCTACGGCAGTATGTTGCAGTGCACCGTCGATCGCCATCATGGTGTTGTAATTGCTCTGGGTTCTGAGAGACTGTTTTGGACGAGGGTGCGTGAATATGAATTTAGTACGTATGATCCAGAGAAAACGTGGTGTGCGAAGGATTCATGTCTTGACAGATCGGAGATTGAATTCGAAAACTTCAGAAGACGCAGTCTACTACAATCTACGGCTATTATGAAGGCAAGCGCAGTCGTATTACGGATATATGGGTTTCAATTTTGTATATAAATTAACACACAAGTAGTACATACAGCAGCCAGCGTTCGAAATTTGTCGATCGTTCGGGCGCCATTCTCAATTGTATCTGCTGATAGAATTGTGTGAATAACCCAAGTCGAAACCCTGGAAGACGGAAGGCATAATTCAAAATCAATCATACGTATACGCATCGAGCAATCATCTATTAAACTTCAGGTATGTTTCAGTCTGCTAAAAATAGCTGAGCGTCGATTTCTCTATTCACCTAAAAGTTCTTTGCAATTACACAATCAAGAAACCGTGAGTTCTCAATATAACGACTAAATGTTCTAATATATATATATATATATATATATATATATATATATATATATATATATATATATATATATATATATATATATATTATATATATATATATACCTATATAGATATATGTATATTATACATCTGCATATAGGTATTTATGGTAACATCGGTTATAGTACTGTCGCAAACACCGATTCCAGGTACGCAATATCAACCGCACAACACATACTGGTTGAAGTGAATGATCATCTTCATAATGGGGCATTGTTCCAGCTCATCGGTCCACAATTTGGCCTTTAAATCGCGCATTTGAATCGCGTGGAAGTAGTCGAACTCTATTAGTGTCAGTTGCTCGGCAACCAGGTCCAGTGGCAAGGCGCCGAATTCGGGTTTGTAATCGGCCTCCTCGGGTGTGGGTTGTGACAATAGAGCTTGCTTCTTGTCGAATTGTTGTTGCCTGAGGGTGTGCAGCACTTATAGTGTGTTTGTATTCGGTTGTCGGGTGGTTTCCAGTGCATAGCATGCAGAACGTGAGTGGAGGTGTGAAAGTAAAGCAACGTCTGCCATGTGATGCCAATGTGGGCACTGACGTGCAATATGATACTGAGAGGCATATAAGCGGACATGCGCACATATAAAGGCAATTTATTGACAAACTGACGTCTTTGGCGTTTTCTAACATATCCACTGGCATGTGTGGCTATCACAAAAATATTATACTATGATGTATTTGATATGCTTACAATTGCTTCTCCAGAGTTCTTCGTAGCGTGCCAGTATCTTCGCCGTGATTCTCCATCGCCTTATACAAGTTGTCGAGTTCGGTTTGCATTTCAGGCTCCACAGAGACCAGTTCTTTGTTCTTGAAGAAATTTGGTACCGTGAAGTCCAGTATTTGTTGCTGCATCCAAAATCTGAACGAATCCGTTTAGAGAAGAATCGCATATATATTTGCGACGTACGTATACAACATTGATTGACAACAGTATACAACAAGTTAGTTAACTTTGTTGCACTGATCTCAATTTCGAGTTTTTGTTAAGCACGAAACGAACAGATGGAGCCGAGCACCTTACACCAAGGCGCTAGATGTGCGATGAAATGCCGACTGTCAAGTGAAATCAGTATCAAGCTTTGTTCACATATTCAAGAACGAAACATACCAATGAACAGGAAAACCAGAAAAAGACGCATTTATTTAGTACACACCTTAGTCCTTGACAGATAGCGTTTCTCACTCTCTTCTCTTCCGGATAGTCTTTTGGCACATCATAAATCTCGGTAAGCTTTCTCAACAAACCGGGTGATGTCAGAAACCACAGGTGAGACCGCAGCATTATTTTGGGAAAATTGTAGCTGGCCACTTGGAAGGTAGAGCACGATCCTACAGAGAGAAATATTGCGCGATGAAAGCTTAACGGGCGATAGTAGGAGGCGATGGTGTACTAATTTGTGAACGAAAATCCAGGCGATGGTGTACTAATTTGTGAACGAAAACCCAGGCGATGGAAAGAACCTTGTGGACTGAGTGAGATCTGACTTTGCGTAAAGCGCAAACTCGAGGTTCTCTTCGTATTACGCTCCTCTGCAGACAAGCGTAGCTAAAGTGCGGTACCATATCGCTGTACTATACTCTTTGGAAAAAGAAAATGACAAAATGTACGTGCTTGGAAACGCAAAAGTCATTTTCAGCGCGCAAAAACAGCGGTCGTAGTTCACAGATCATCGTATCGCTTAGTAAAGGTAGTTGGTAAGAGAGCGAGGGGTTATACATGTCTGCGATAACAAATTGTCCAGCTGTTTTTGTAGTAATGTCATAAATGAATTACTTACAAGGTGAAGAAGGGCTGTCGATTATATCCAAACACAAAGCTATTGCTATCAAGCGTGCTCCAACATACCAAAGTGGCGTATGTAATGTTCGACTAATCTGTTGACAGAGGCAGCAGATAGGATCCCATCTTCACCCTCATCCTCCTCCTCGGAAATATCAAACCATACCTGAGTGAGCGCATAGAAAGCAAATGAGAGCTTGGTGCTGTCGAAGAAAAAATTGCAAAAACAACAGAGAAACGCACCCTGCCTGTATGATGACTTGACGCGCGTGAGGGGGCACACGGTAACAAGGCACGTTTGGGTATTTATGATTCAGAAGAGCGTGTTCTTCGTTCGTTGCAAGTTAATGCAGAAAAGTCTGCATATACAGTCAACACACTGTGTACACGTACTGGCGATGTGCTTCGAGTTGCTTACCCTGGGCTCATTGCTTGCACGAATTTCCTCCCAGTAGCCCAAATTGGGTGTCATGCACACGGAATCACTGCTGTCACAAATCGCATCAAGGCTATCAAACGAAGCACCAAGTCGTGCAGTATCAGAGTTGATTGTGAGACCTGCAATTGTGTCCAAATCTAAATTAGTACATGCCATCTCGAGATATCTTTCTCAGTCATAACAAAAACGAGCAATGTAGAATTTTCAACTGACTGAAACTCCAGGAAAGTCATCAAATGACGAGCCAAATGTCTCCAATAAATTCCCTCGTATAAGAAAAAACTGCCATCACATACTATCCGAGGCGATACACTTCACATTTTGGAGCGAGCCCGGACCAGAAGTTGCCATCGACGAGGTTGCGCTGCGAACGGAAAGGAAGTGTGAAAACAGCGATCAGGCACATAGCAAGCGTTTCCATACTTCATGTTGATGCGGCTATTGCCACTGCTCGTGTGATTCAATTGTGATGCTAGTGGGGACTGATACTATTGCGATACATATGCCATAGTGACTATAGACGTTCAACTTAGATGCTAGATCTTCTGGCAAAGACAACGACGTTGTCCCTACCAGATGTCTCATACCACGCGAAGCCCAGAAGATCATGTATCTATGTAAAAGAAGACCGCACAACAAAGTGTCCTACATTGTGAGACTGATTTGCTGATAAATATTCTAATCACAAACCGCGTTGGCAGGTATTTCTATACACGAATAAACTTTTTTGCATTCCAGGCAAGCAAAGTGTATCGACAACGCCGATAGGACCCCTTCTGCAGCACAGAATCGGAAGTGACGAGGATGCTAATCATACAGGTATGCAAAACACCCACATGCTGACCGTTTCTCATTATTCTTCTACTCCATGCACTAGCCTGATACCCGCACACCACACTGGAGGGAGGGTGTAGATACGCCGATATAGTGTACCTGCTGCTGGAGTTTCTCATTCCCGCTCTGCGAATACTGGCGAATGTATGTGACAGTGTTTTCTTCGTAGTGTCCGATGGCATGGGTCTGAGCTTCATTTTTTCTGTGTCGTCGCTTGCGTCCGTTCCCGTACTACTGCCGGCTGACATTGCTGACGTACTTGATAACGAGCCACCGCTTGATTTCGCAGACAAGGCTTTGATACCATCACTATCATCAGAAGTATGTCCTGTTATTTTGCCCTGTGTGCAGCGGGGAGGAAGGGTAATATAGTATTCACATGTTGGGCCATAAATCGGTGTGATTGTTTAAAGTGTGGTTGTCATTCGATCTTAACTTGACTTGTAAACGTTATTGGGTGTTTTATGTGAATGCCCACTAAGCTTTGACTACCAGCGGACAATCTCCAACAACAAAAGGAATTTAATAAACTACGGTTGCGTCGAGTACGACAGCTTAAGTGTAAGAATTGTTTTGTGTAAAGAAAAGGAATGTACTGATTTATTGCTGCTGACAATATATACTTCTGCATTTCTTGATTTGAACAGTCTCGTGCAAAAGTGTACAGCGTCCACTGAAAACGCCCTATGACTGTCGAAATATTGTTTTGGGGCGTTTTGTAAAGTACGTAAGAGGTACGCAATTTGAAAAGTATGTAAGGTAATATAAAAGAAACTCGTAACTACACCATTTAAAGTATGAGAGCTCTGAGGGTATTCATTTTTTGTAGCATATCACAAACTTAAATTAAACTTTTAGCGTGCGATTTTACCGCTCCACTGGATATCATCACAATATATTTGGCCCTTAAGTCTATCGTCAATATAAACTACATTCAGAGCAAAGAAAAGAACTTCGAAAGAAAAGAACTTCGAAAAATAAAGTTGGTAACGACAATGACATTCCCCCGATCACAACTGCAGCACAGAAGTATGTGTGGTAGTCGTATACTCAGTATCACTAAGTGACGCAGATCTAACTGCAAGATGGAACCGGGTTAACATACCTTTGTTGGGATTCGTTTGCCATCCGCCCCTTTCATCGCTGCGCCCAAGTGCTGAAGCAACAATCCAACACCACCGCCTGTGCCAATATGGTGTTTGAGAAGTGGAGATGCATACTTGTATTGTTTTCTCCCGTTAATTGGGAGAATAACACTTCCAAAATTTTGGGTTATTGCGTATGAACAGGGAGAGAAATATTGCACGCACAATGTTCGTACATACTTATGCTGTGACCTCTACTGCGCGACTTAGGTGATTGTCCAGGCGAGTTGCTCAGGCTGGATCTTCGACTGTTAACAGTAGAAGCCACTGTGGATGTATAAGGATCAATGAAGATGATTACTATGAGTATTGTAAAGTGTTTGACATATATCTGTTGAAGCTTGACGGATGGATGTGAGGAATAAATACTACAAGTCAAAACAGCTTGTTTAGGTAGTCAAAAAGACCATGTACGGAGTTGAATGTATAGCCATGGTAAAAGTAGCGATAACTGGACTGAAAACAGCACATCCTTCAATCTATCAGTCTTTTGACTTCTAATACACACACACACACACATATATACACACACACACACACACACACACACACGCACACACACACATAAACACACACACACACACGCACACACACACACATATATATATATAGATATATACATGTACATATATATCACACACACACACACACC